TTCCTTAATAGAGGAAGTGCATTTATAAATCAATTATGAATAGCAACAACCTCACAGAGAAATAGACAAGAAAAATGAACTGGCAATTAGCAAATAAAGAAATCACTTCCAAACAAACGTACAAGATGCTTAACTTCACTTTTAACTAAAGAAATGCAAGTTACTATTAAGATCTTATACTTTTAGCAGATTGGCAAAGACCACATATAATTCTGATTACACACAGAAGTTTGCATGGGTCTGGATAATTGAGTCTTGTTGGAGAGTCTGGCGTCCCATATTTGGAAGTTAATTTAGGAATAACATTCTAAATTTAAAGTGCACTCTGATTTTGACTGAAAGGACAATCTTAGTAATTTCTTCTCTAGGTCTACATGTACCTTCCTCTCTGGTTGGCCACTGTTCCCTTTACACCCAGGTCCGTTCCCACAGCAGTAGCCCTAGCTATTCTATTTGTTGAGTAATTAATGTGCACAGAGGGTAATCTTCTCTGCCATGTTTGTTTTAGCAGAACACTAGAAACATCCCTAACCTGTCCTTCATTAAGTCGTGGTTAAATAAATTATCCTACATCCATCCATCCAGTGGAATTCTCCGCTGCTCTTTATTTAAAAGTTGGGCAGATCTCCAAGTGTTGTTACATAAATGTTGCCAAGCCACAGGGCTGGCTGACAAAAACCACGTAAATAATGATGTATCGAATAGACTCCCCATGTATGTAAAAATGATAATATGCAAAATAAATGTACAAAATGTCTGGCTTCCAAAAAATTCCTGGAAGGGGGTGGGAGTTTGGAATAGAAAAAAATATATATATGAGAGAATATGAGTTAATTTTTAATTATGCATACAAAAAAGAAAAACACACATACAGATATGGAAATGTACTAGATAACATAAAGGAAAACAAAAACCGCATTGAAGGATTTACAAGAACAATTTGGAGAAACTAAAACACAAACAATGCTCCAGAATGGGAAAACATGCTATTGTTAACCCATCAATTCTCTCCCAAGGCAATCTGTAATTTTAATGTGATTCCAGTTCAACTCTCAAATCTATTCTTTTTGAGTCTTGACACCCCCCCCCCAAATTTTAAACTATTCTGGAAGACTAAGTTTCTAAGAATATTTTTAAAAAGTAGATTAAAGTTTGGAATGGGGGGGGTGCCTGCGTGGCTCAGATGGTGAAACTTCTTATTCCTGGTTTCAGCTCAGGTCATGATCTTATGGTTGTGGGATCAAGCCCCATGTGGGGCTCTGTGCTCAAAGTGGAGTCTGCTTCAGATTCTCTCTCCCTCTCCCTCCAACTCACTCTCTCTCACTCAAATAAATAAAATCTTAAAAAAAAATCTAGAATGGGGGTGGGGATAGGGCTTGTCCTACCAGTTGTAAATATAATATAAAATACATATAAATATATATGTATAAGTATATATGTATATGTATTTATATAAAATACATATATATACATATAGACTCTCTTTATATGTGTGTGTGTGTGTGTATATATATATATATATATATATAACATTTCCCTCTCCATACACACACATACACACACACACACACACACACACACACAAAGTTAAAGTAATTAAAGTAATACTGCTCTGGAATATAAAAAAAACAAACCTAGAAGGCGGGAGAATGAAAAGTTTAGTCATAGGCAAATAGACATAAGCATCAGTCTGTATGTGTACATCAGTCTAGATGTATAGCTAGAGTAGATATTGGTTGTTTTTCAATCACCAAACATTTTTGCCTCCTCCTACCTCAACGCTTCTTAATAATACCTAACTTTGTTTTTGAGGATTACCTCTTGAATCACCTTGGATTCAGTGTGGCAGGACAGTTAAGTAGATATCTGTCTTGCCCCTACCAATTAAATGCTCTCTCTCTGGGTTCTGACTCTAGAGCAAATGAGCTGAGATTAAAAACCACTGGAATTGTTTATTTCTGCAGAACAATACCCTGGGGAGTTGAGGGTTCCTACAGTAGGCCCCCTGCTCTGGCCCCCACTTCTGCATCCACAGAAACCTCTTGGAACTAGCCAGTTTCCAAGTCTAAGCTTTAGCCCTCTTGGTTTTTCTACAGAACCTACCATCTTTGCAATAAATGGCTATGGTTTTGTCAGTTTCTGTAGCTTTGCCATCAAAGGACTCTTAGGATTCAGGTGGCATTTCAAATCATCAGGGAAATGTTAGGTTACTCAGGGAATTGTTTCAGGAAATCTGGTACTCATTTTGGGGAAGAGTTAAATTCTTTAAATGAATTCCAGAATATGAAAGAGTTAACTATATTTTTAAAAAGGGGGGAAGTAACTTGATCTTAGAAAGAATGTCTTTTTACTTGTTCCAAGATAAGACCACAAAGGAAAACATTCATAGATTTAAATGCACTAAAACTAAAAGGCAAATAATAATCCAGGAAGTATATTAGACCAATACAAGCTGTAGGACTCAAAACCGTAAAATGTAAAGATCTCTTAAAAGTCAGCAAGATAGTTAAATCTAAAAAAATCTAAAAATGGGTAAAAGCCCCAATCAATTCATAGAGGAAATGTATTTCATCTATGTTTTATAGTTATATTTCTTCTATGTTTTATATATATATATATACACATACATATATACACATATAAATTTATGTATATATAATTATTATATAAATGAATTACATAATTGCATTTATGAAGAGTTCTTACAAATCATTAAGATAAATACCCCTAAAAATGGGTAAAGGTTATAATCAATTCACTGAAGGAGAAATATAAATGGTACATACACTCTTATCCACATATTATTACCTATATATGTATACGTGCAGGTACATATATAAACTTATGTAATGCAATTATAAATAATTGGTAATATTCAAGGAAGTTCAAATTAAAGCGATGATGTCATTTTATACCTTTTAAATTAGCATAAACTTTAAAAAGTAAGAATTTGCAGTGCTGGCAAAGGTTGTAGCAAGAACATCATTCTCATCTATTGGGATTATAAATTGGTAAACTTTTAGAAGGCAGTATGTCAATATGTATCAAGTGCTTTAAAGATGTGGATTCCTCACGATCAAGCAAGTCCACTTTTAGGAGCTGTAAAAATATTTTGTGTAGGGACCGTGGCAACCTTCATCCATGCAAAAAGCAGACATTGGTTAAATAAATAATGCTATATTCATCCATATAGAGCAGCCACTACACTTAAAGTTGTAGAAAAGAATTTAAAGCATTATTATATTATAATATATATAATATAATATATGTAATATACTATATTATACGTAATGTTCACAACCAATAAAAAATTAAATCACAAAGCTGCATGGAGAGTACAGCACATTTAAACGTATGTTAAATACACACATGTTATGTATACATGCACATACATACACATACACACCTATTATGCACAGAAAATACAGGAACGACATAATAAACATAATAATAAAGTGCCTTTTGCTTTTTGAATTTTCTGTAGTAATTACATATTTTTTGGTAACAGGAAAGGAGTATACTTTCATGCATTTTATGAATCCTATCTTATTACATATCTTAGGAAAAAGCTCAGGGCAGGAAATATCCACCCTTAATAGGAAACAGAAGTAAAGCTGAGACAGGGAAGGTGATTTGTTCTAAGTCATTAACTAGGGGGTTATAAAGCCATGACTTTGATCCTGATTCGCTGAGTCCAAATCCCCTACTCTCTCTACTATTCATGCTACACCTCAGCAAGTGACCACGTTGATCACGCTCGGAAATTACTGGCCAAGTATGAGCCTGGGGGTCAGAGGGGGAAATGGCCAGTCTGTTGCTAGTTGCCAGATGTTAGGATTCACAGCACCTAGTATTTAGGAACAAAGAGGCTGGCTCAGTTACGGATAGAAGTTGGCAAGTCATCCTTCCTGAGGGTGGTGGAGCTCCAGGTTGTATCAATTCTTCGCGGTCATGAGCAATACTGCAGTACACCAAGGATACTCTGTACATCCTAACTGGATGAAATCTGATCAGTGTGGTCTAGGCCAGCTGAACAGAAAGTAGCAAGCTGAAGCTCTCACAGTTAGTTTTTGGAACTCAGTAGGTGCCTCTGCATTGAAACTGTACCAAGGGATCCTAGTCCTTCTAGCCTGGGTAGATAAAAACTGGAGAGAGCGGCAGGTTTCCCAACAGCTGCTCCTCTGAACCCAAAAGGCATGGTCACAAGACAAAAAGCATGGCTCTGCTATGGAGAAGCTTCGGGTAATTCAGGATAGCCCCTGACCTCTCAGAAGTAACAGCCCCAGGCCCAGCAAGTGCACAGGCAGCTGTGGAAGAGAATGGCTCTAAAAGGTAACTGCATAGTCTCCAAGATTAATCAACAAATACCAGTGTCTCGCATCTAGCAGCCATGATCCTATCGGGAGTCAAACTATATACCCCCCACGCCCCTTAACAAATGTGATTGCCCCACCCGGAAGCACGTATCTCAGTCCCAGGAGCTAAGTCATGATATGGAATGAAGCTTCTATCCCACAAAGCATTTATTGATCCCCTACAAAGTACACAACACACTGTCTACCATTCTCCTAGATCTAAAAGGTAATCCACTTTTTGAATTAAAAAAAAAAAAAGTGAACTAAATTGTTTTGATGTACCCATTATCAAGCTCATATGTATCACGGCACTTACAATCAACTTACACAATTGATTTTTAAAAATTCAGTGGGGACAAAAATCAATGCCACAAATGCCAAAATATAATATTTGCTAAAGACATTTGCTCTAAAAGCACTATGCCGTGATCCTGAGAAATACGCTTTTAGTAACTGACTTACAAGTAGGCTGAGTTTTAATTTGAGATAATGTTTAGAAATGAACCAACTTAACTCAAATTCCCTATACAATTATAAAACATCAGACTAAATCCAAGGATATAAAAAAATTTATTTTTTAAAATTACTTTCAGGCAAAATCAAAGCCTGTGACCTTTTTCAAAAGGTTTGCATTTCATTACTCACCAACTGACAGCCTTCTAGGGAGTTCACTAGCTGAGCATTCTGACAGGAGAGAATTGAACCAGCCAAATTCAGCATTACACACACTGCAGAGAGCAGCATGAAAAAGGTTATCTGGAAACAAATCAAACAAAAAATGGATTATTCACTTGGAGAAGGTCGAAGGAAAAGTGATTTGGCTTTTTAAAAAGCCTTCAGTTTATCGAATAATTATAAGAGTAACAGTTGTATTTCTTTTTTAAAAGATGGTATCATTTCTCAAAATTTGAATTACATCGTGAAATATTTTAGAGGCTCAACTTGAAAACACTATACATTATATAGGCTCAGAATAGTTTTATATTGTCTCAAAAATAATACATTAGAAATGACTAAAGAAAACCAACAGAAAGTAGTTTATTTATTAGAAAGACTTTATATTTATTTAATTTTTTATGGAAAACTTCCTACCTATGCAAAACCAGAGAAGAGAGTTTAATGAAGCCCCCACCCCACATACCTATCACCCAGACTCAACAACTAACTAACTCATGGTCTGTTGTGTTTCATTTATACCTTCTCCACTCTAGAACGCTTTGCAGTAAATATCAGACTGATATTATTTCATCCTTTCAGTGTATGTTTCTAAAATAAGACTGTTTTTGAAAACACAACCAACATAACATCATCACCTCTAGCATAACCATTAATATCAAATGTTCAGAGTTCATATTTCCTTAATTAGCTCAAAATTTTTTTTATAATTTTTTTTATTTTTTTATAAACATATAATGTATTTTTATCCCCAGGGGTACAGGTCTGTGAATCACCAGGTTTACACACTTCACAGCACTCACCATAGCCCATACCTTCCCCAAAGTCCGTAACCCCACCCCCCTCTTCCCACCCCCCTCCCCCCAGCAACCCTCAGTTTGTTTTGTGAGATTAAGAGTCACTTATGGTTTGTCTCCCTCCTAATCCCATTTTATCTTTTCCTACCCCCCGAACCCCCCATGTTGCATCTCTACTTCCTCATATCAGGGAAATCATATGATAGTTGTCTTTCTCTGATTGGCTTATTTCGCTAAGCATAATACCCTGTAGTTACATCCATGTCGTTGCAAATGGCAAGATTTCATTTCTTTTGATGGCTGCATAGTATTCCATTGTGTATATATATATGTATATATATATATGTATGTGTGTGTGTGTGTGTATATATATATATATACATATATATATATATATATGTGTATATATATATATATATATCTCGCCTCTTCTTTATCCATTCATCTGTTGATGGACATATAGGTTCTTTCCATAGTTTGGCTATTGCGGACATTGCTGCTATAAACATTCGGGTGCACGTGCCCCTTCGGATCACTACGTTTGTATCTTTAGGGTAAATACCCAGTAGTGCAATTGCTGGGTCATAGGGTAGTTCTATTTTCAAATTTTTAATCACGTCCATGCTGTTTTCCAGAGTGGTTGCACCAGCTTGCATTCCCACCAACAGTGTAGGAGGGTTCCCCTTTCTCTGCCTCCTCGCCAGCATCTGTAATTTCCTGACTTGTTCATTTTAGCCATTCTGACTGGTGTGAGGTGGTATCTCATTGTGGTTTTGATTTGTATTTCTCTGATGCTGAGTGATGTGGAGCACTTTTTCATGTGTCTGATGGCCATCTGGATGTCTTCTTTGCAGAGATGTCTGTTCATGTCCTCTGCCCATTTCTTGATTGGATTATTTGTTCTTTGGGTCTTGAGTTTGCTAAGCTCTTTATAGATTTTGGATACTAGCCCTTTATCTGATATGTCATTTGCAAATATCTTCTCCCATTCTGTCAGTTGTCTTTTGGTATTGTTCACTGTTTTCCTTTGCTGTGCAAAAGCTTTGATCTTGATGAAATCCCAGTAGTTCATTTTTGCCCTTGCTTCCCGTGCCTTTGGCGATGTTCCCAGGAAGAAGTTGCTGCTGCTGATGTTGAAGAGGTTGCTGCCTGTGTTCTCCTCAAGGATTTTGATGGATTCCTTCCTCACATTGAGGTCCTTCATCTATTTTGAGTCTATTTTCGTGTGTGATGTAAGGAAATGGTCCAATTTCATTTTTCTGCATGTGGCTGTCCAATTTTCCCAACACCATTAGTTGAACAGGCTGTCTTTTTTTCCATTGGACATTCTTTCCTGCTTTGTTGAAGATTAGTTGACCATAGAGTTGAGGGTCTATTTCTGGGCTCTCTATTTCTGTTCCATTGATCTATGTGTCTGTTTTTGTGCCAGTACCATACTGTCTTGATGATAACAGCTTTGTAATAGAGCTTAAAGTCCGGAATTGTGATGCCACCAACATTGGCTTTCTTTTTCAATATTCCTTTGGCTATTCAAGGTCTTTTCTGGTTCCATATAAATTTTAGGATTATTTGTTCCATTTCTTTGAAAAAAATGGATGGAATTTTGATAGGGATTGCATTAAATGTGTAGATTGCTTTAGGTAGCATAGACATTTTCACAATATTTATTCTTCCAATCCAGGAGCATGGAACATTTTTCCATTTCCTTATGTTTTCCTCAATTTCTTTCTTGAGTACTTTATAGTTTTCTGAGTATAGATTCTTTGCCTCTTTGGTTAGGTTTATTCCTAGGTATCTTATGGTTTGGGGTGCAACTGTAAATGGGATTGACTCCTTAATTTCTCTTTCTTCTGTCTTCTTGTTGGTGTAGAGAAATGCAACTGACTTCTGTGCATTGATTTTATATCCTGACACTTTACTGAATTCCTGTACAAGTTCTAGCAGTTTTGGTTTTCCATATATAGTATCATATTATCTGCAAAGAGTGATAGTTTGACTTCTTCTTTGCTGATTTGGATGCCTTTAATTTCTTTTTGTTGTCTGATTGATGAGGCTAGGACTTCTAGTACTATGTTGAATAGCAGTGGTGATAACGGACATCCCTGCCGTGTTCCTGACCTTAGCGGAAAAGCTTACAGTTTTTCTCCATTGAGAATGATATTTGCGATGGGTTTTTCATAGATGGCTTTGATAATATTGAGGCATGTGCCCTCTATCCCTACACTTTGAAGAGTTTTGATCAGGAAGGGATGCTGTACTTTGTCAAATGCTTTTTCAGCATCTATGGAGAGTATCATATGGTTCCTGTTTTTTCTTTTATTAATGTGTTGTATCACATTGATTGATTTGCGGATGTTGAACCAACCTTGCAGCCCTGGAATAAATCCCACTTGGTCGTGGTGAATAATCCTTTTAATGTACTGTTGAATCCTATTGGCTAGTATTTTGGTGAGAATTTTTGCATCTGTGTTCATCAAGGATATTGGTCTGTAGTTCTCTTTTTTGATGGGATCCTTGTCTGGTTTGGGGATCAAGGTGATGCTGGCCTCATAAAATGAGTTTGGAAGTTTTCCTTCCATTTCTATTTTTTTGGAACAGTTTCAGGAGAATAGGTATTAATTCTTCTTTAAATGTTTGGTAGAATTCCCCTGGGAAGCCATCTGGCCCTGGACTTCTGTTTGTTTGGAGATTTTTGATGACTGTTTCAATCTCCTTACTGGTTATAGGTTTGTTCAGGTTTTCTATTTCTTCCTGGTTCAGTTGTGGTAGTTTATATGTCTCTAGGAATGCATCCATTTCTTCCAGATTGTCAAATTTGTTGGCACAGAGTTGTTCATAATATGTTCTTATAATTGTTTGTATTTCTTTGGTGTTGGTTGTGATCTCTCCTCTTTCATTCATGATTTTATTTATTTGGGTTCTTTCTCTTTTCTTTTTGATAAGTCTTGCCAGGGATTTATCAATCTTATTAATTCTTTCAAAGAACCAGCTCCTAGTTTCGTTGATTTGTTCTATTGTTTTTTTTGGGTTTCTATTTCATTGATTTCTGCTCTGATCTTTATGATTTCTCTTCTCCTGCTGGGTTTAGGCTTTCTTTGTTGTTCTTTCTCTAGCTCCTTTAGGTGTAGGATTAGGTTGTGTAATTGAGACCTTTCTTGTTTCTTGAGAAAGGCTTGTACTGCTATATATTTTCCTCTCAGGACTGCCTTTGCTATGTCCCACAGATTTTGAACCATTGTGTTTTCATTATCATTTGTTTACATGAATTTTTTCAATTCTTCTTTAATTTTCTGGTTGACCCATTCATTCTTTAGAAGGATGCTGTTTAGTCTCCATGTATTTGGGTTCTTTCCAATTTTCCTCTTGTGATTAAGTTCTAGTTTCAGAGCATTGTGGTCTGAAAATATGCAGGGCATGATCCCAATCTTTTGATACTGGTTGAGACCTGATTTGTGACCCAGGATGTGATCTATTCTGGAGAATGTTCCATGTGCACTAGAGAAGAATGTGTATTCTGTTGCTTTGGGATGAAATGTTCTGAATATATCTGTGATGTCCATCTGGTCCAGTATGTCATTTAAGGCCTTTATTTCCTTGTTGATCTTTTGCTTGGATGATCTGTCCATTTCAGTGAGGGGAGTGTTAAAGTCCCCTACTATTATTGTATTATTTTTTATGTGTTTCTTTGATTTTGTTATTAATTGGTTTATATAGTTGGCTGCTCCCATGTTAGGGGCATAGATATTTAAAATTGTTAGATCTTCTTGTTGGACAGATCCTTTGAGTATGATATAGTGTCCTTCCTCATCTCTTATTATAGTCTTTGGCTTAAAGTCTAATTGATCTGATATAAGGATTGCCACCCCATCCTTCTTATGATGTCCTTTAGCATGGTAAATTATTTTCCATCCCCTCACTTTAAATCTGGAGGTGTTTTCAGGTCTAAAATGAGTTTCTTGTAGGCAGCATATAGATGGGTTTTGTTTTTTTAATCCATTCTGATACCCTGTGTCTTTTGATTGGGGCATTTAGCCCATTAACATTCAGGGTAACTATTGAGAGATATGAATTTAGTGCCATTGTATTGCCTGTAAGGTGACTGTTACTGTATATTGTCTCTGTTCCTTTCTGATCTACTACTTTTAGGGTCTCTCTTTGCTTAGAGGACCCCTTTCAATATTTCCTGTAGAGCTGGTTTGGTGTTTGCAAATTCTTTCAGTTTTTGTTTGTCCTTGAAGCTTTTTATCTCTCCTTCTATTTTCAATGATAGCCTAGCTGGATATA